GGAGGCCCCGCGCGCGCGAGCCCCGCGCAAGATCGAGGCCAGGCCGCCCGCGCGGAACACGCTGCCCACCCGAGCTCCCGCCTTACGCAGGGCCATGTGCCTGAACGCATCCTGGCCGAGGCGAATGACCCGCCCACGCAGCGCGCGCCTCTGCATGACGAAATCCACGCCGATGTCGCGGGCCTCCCTGACGCACCTGAAGCCCCACTCGCCCAGCTTGCTGGCCAGGCGCTTGCTTGCGGGAGCGTCGCCGGCGAGGGCCCGCCCCTTCGTGGGGGAGATGGTGAAGCCCAGCTCCTTGAGTAACCTGCAGAGCATGCGCGTGGCCCCCAGGATGACGGCGTCCACCTGCTTCGGTCTGCCGCGCACGGCCAGCCCGATGTCTTCCACCACCACATGGGTCTTGATGAACTACCAACACTTCCGCATGGCGTCGACAGGCTGGACCAGCACCACTCGGAGCAACGCGGCGGCGAAGCAGCTCCCCACAAGCAGCGAGAGGAGGACCTGGAAGGCCCTCGTCTTCCAGCGATCCAAAATGAGACGACGTCGCCCGCCATAGCGCCGAAGCAACAGCTTGATCCTCCTGAGCGGGAAGGCCTCGCGACTTGCCGCTGCCGCCATGCGACTGTGCGCGGCCCGCTCGCAGGCCTTGCTCAAGTCGCGGCGCTCTCGCTGGACATGCCCACGCCCCCGAAGAAGTAGGGCGGTAGTGCGGCCCAGCTCCCGCCCCCAGGACTTGGCCCCCGCGTGGCGAAGCTTCCTCGGCAACCGCAGCAGGCTGCAGATCAGGCCGATGGGTCTCCAACCTTCGTCGGGCTCGGCTAGGGAGAAGATGAAGACCCCCACCACCTGCGACGGGAAGTCCACCGATAGCTCGACGATGCGAAGCAGCAGCCCCAGGGCAATGAGGCCATCGGTCGACAGCCAGCCGAAGTGCCCAGGCTCGACGCCATCAATCCCCACCGTGGCGCGGGTCTTAAAACTTCGGGCCGTTTCCACAATCTCCAACGGCGCCGAAGGAGGCGGAGGAGGCTCGAGCAGCTCCTGGGACAACGCCTGGTCCAGGTCGAAGTCCCCTAGGCCGAACTTCCAGACGTCCTGTCACTCCTGCTTCAGCGCGCGGAGCGAAGCAGCCAAGACCGCAAGAGGCGCCGGTCGGACTTCCAGCCCTGAGGAGCCCCGCAGAATGCGCGAGCAGCTCCCCCTCCGCCCGAAACGGCCTCCTGTGCCCTGTCCCGCCAGGCAAGTGTCCGTCGCTTGGCGCAACGCTGCTCGAACTTGGATGCCAGTGCCCTAGAGTGGGCGACCCTCCAGAGCTCCAGGGCAAGCTTGCCTTGGCGTCGGAGCCGCCTGCCCTCGTCCTGCAACAGGTCTCTTACCAGATCCTGGTTAGCCAGCTTCACGACCTTGGCCTGGCGGGCGGCTAGCAAGGGAAGCTCCTGCGGGAACCTGTGGGCTCGCCGTCATGGCTCGCCGTAATCGACGACGGGCCTGCAGCACCTCCCAGAGCAGGGAACCGATATGCCTCCACCGCCTCGCCTTCTCGTTGCCCCGCACGCGCTTGAAGACAAGGTGGGCAACGAACACAGGCACATCTCCCGGTCCCGAGTGTTTCGCCAGCTCCGCGGCGCCCCAGTCGAAGAGGCCTGCCGGGTCAACCTCCATCAGCCTGGCAAACTCCGCGTACAGCAAGTTCAGCGCAGCGGCCGCGTCCCCGCGTGGACCCCGGGCCCGCCCCTCCTCCGACGGCGAATCACACTCACTGCGCCCGTCGGAGCATGCAGCGGCAGCACTCCCGCGCACCGCCGTCGCCGTCAGTCTGCCTATCAGGAGCAGCCAAGCGGGAGGTTCCATCCTGAGCCCGATGGGTCTTTCCGACGGGAAAACCTTGGGCGCCTGGTGCGCCGGCCCGCTCTCCTGGACCAGGTCCCCTGCGACGGCGAGGCGCACAGGGTAGCGCGGCGACAGGTCAGCAGGCTGCCTCGCCACACTTTGCACCTGAGCGCCCAGGTCGCCCGATATCAAAAGGGAGGCGATCTCAGAGCCGCTCCCGATCCTGCACATGTTGGCCCCCGTGCTGATGACCATGCCGCGGACCTCTCGGGACTTCCCCCAGGCCTGCAACTCGTGGGGCTTGCAAGTCGAGCCTCCACCAAGAATGAAGGGCAGCCGGGCTGCCGCCAAATACTAGCCCAACTGGCCGAGGATAACCTTGCTCTCCGCGTCAAGCCCGTACCCACAGATCCACCTCGCGACCACTCGATCCGAGGGGAGCGGCGGTCCCGGGGGCGGCATGCTCATGCCCAAATGCGGGCGGCACGCACTGCCCACCCCGCCAGAAGGGGCCCCGCTCCGCGCGCGTGACCTCCGTGAGCGAAGCCTTCCACCCTTCACGGCGGCGGGCCTGCTTGACCTCCGCCCGCGTGCCAGGGGCAACGCCCATCGATTGTAAGAACAGCACGTCCCCCTCGGACTCTTCCTGCAGCCACTTCAGCAT